TCCGTTCATCTTTTAATGAGTCCGATTACCAGAGCATCCATGCCCAAACCATAATTCCGTTCATCTTTTAATGAGTGCGGTTACCAGAGCATCCATGCCCAAACCATAATTCCGTTCATCTTTTAATGAGTGCGATTACCAGAGCATCCATGCCCAAACCATAATTCCGTTCATCTTTTAATGAGTGCGATGCAATCTATGCGGACGGCAATTGCAACTGGAAGCATGCGGCTGCAGAGCTAGGCTTGGAGCACCACGCGATCACGCACCAGCTGAAGCAGTTCACCAAAAGAGTTGAGCCGGGAGCTGTCATGCTCTCCTGCGTCGCCGGAACGCAGATTTTAGACCGCACATGGCGTGATCTCAAAATGTTTCTGCCAAAGCGGCTGGTGGCGAAGTTGAAGGTCAATGGCCACTTCCAGCTTCACCGAAATGTACAGCTTCTGGTTCGTCAATGGATGTGGAGAAAATCCATAGGCTCCACAACTCCCCAGGAGTTTTTGGACACACTCAAGAGGCTGCTCTAGACAAAAGCAGTTTTTTCCGCGCGTTGTTCGTATGGGAAGTTACAGCACGAAGCTGGGTTTTTGACGTTAGTTTCGGGGGCCCCGAGAACGTAACTTAAACCGGTAATTTACAATACGAAGGCCCTTTTCTGCATGGAAAACAGGGTAAAAACCGCACATTCTCTAGCAAAGCCACGAATTGCTGTAAATTCCCACACGAATGGCTGGTCCGGCCAACTTGTCTTCTTGCGCAAGTCCTTGAAAACCCACGGCAGAATACGCGCGTGTACCTAGTTGGGCGCTGCTGGGACGCTCTGCGGTTGGGCACCTGATGGAATACTCAGCGGTTCGGCACTTCTGGAACACTCTGCGGTTGGGCATCGCCAGGATATTGTGCGGTTGGGCCAGGGATACTCTGCGATTGGCACTGCAGGGGACACTCTGCGGGATTCTGCCGTTGGGCACTGCAGAGATAGGTTGCGGTTGGGCACACCAAGGCTATTGGGAGCACTGCACGGAGGGCGAGGAGAACATAGATTTCTTAAAGTCCGACAACCCGCTCTGGCGGTGGGGAACGATTGCAGAACGCACGGGGAGCTAGATGCAGAAGACACCGCAGCTTCAACTTGCGCAATTTGCATCCTCAGTTTTGCGTCCAGACGTTCCTCAATCCCTTTTTCATGAGACAGCTGTTGGTACTACTCGTGATGTCTGCTGTGGCAGAGCTTGGCCATCAAGAGCTGGCTTTTGCTCTGAAAGAAACAGTGCCAGGGATGAGCCGTTTTTCGCAACATCAGAGCAGGTGGGGTCTTGTAGATGCTGAGCTTCCTGAACCTGCTGCTGCTTTCCCTTCCTTGGCCACTATGAAAGCCCAGCCAATTAGTCAATGACATCGCCCGAGCGTGGAGGCCCGCATCTACAATTCGGCGCTGCAGCACGCTGTCAGAGCCCTAGGATTTGTGGAAGGAAGCTTTGAAGCTCTCTCCAGCTTTTCAGCATCTTTCAACAGTTTTCAGTTGCTCAGGAGCGCCCACGAGTGCCTTGCTCAGAGGACACGTCTTTAAGCTGCTAGTGACCTGTCAGACCGTCTTCATATGAGGCCTGGGAAGATCCGATGAAGTCGTTCGCCGGAACGGCCCATAAGCTGTTTTGACCTTGGTGGGTAGATCATCCTGCTGGGCGTGTACGTTCCACATCTGAGGCCGTGAAGATGTAGAACCTTCCTCTGCTGGCTGGAAAAAAGCTGGCTTCATGTCATCTACAGTCAGAAACTCTTCAGGGTTCGTAGGAGGGCTGGGACTTCACCAAGTGCATTACACTGACAGAGCTACCGAGAAGAGCAATTCACGTTGAAAACTACCAAGAAGCGCCTTAAAGCACAGACATGTGAGAGACCCTTGCCGCACTTTGAGCAAACCACGCTCCCTTCGGAGCTGTGATTGAAATTGCAGCTGGCCCGCCGTCCTAGAAGGCTCAGTCGCTCTCACAGCTACAGCAGCTGTGTGAGCAGCGAAGAAAACTTGGGCTCTCCGGCCACGAGTTGTGGGAATGGTATGAGCGTCAAAGCTCTTACCGCTGCTACTTGTGGCGCATGGCGGAAGACCCGAATTACTCTGCACTGTTCTTACTTGCCATTCCTTCGTGGCACGAATCTAACTTGCTCAGAGCTTTGACGCCTTCTGAAGTTTGAAGAGCCTTACATCAGGCTAGCCATTGGCTGCAGCGTGTACCAGAGAAATCTGGAGTCATCAAGGCTGAACCTCTGTTCGTAAGCATCAAGGCAAAGTATGCTTGCCGCGCCCCTCTCTTCGTTGCCAGGTGCCAGTGAGTAGCGTGCAGAGCAGTCAGTTGGTCCAGCTCATCCTAGATGGAGCTGCTCAGACAGCAAGAAGCAGATTCAATCCTCACAGAAGTCTTTGCAAAGTGCCCGCAAGCCCAGGTTGTGGCAAAAACGATGACGATGGCGAAAGCCTGCAGAGTATTCTCAGCCTACGGAGATGTGGCTTCAATAAATTTGCAACTGGCCTGCGTGGAGATTATTACATCCGCGTGTGCTGGCTGGAAGACAGCCTTTGGTACGCAATGGTCTTGCTCAGGAGTGACTGCTTACAGCATGGATTGGTTGAAGTGCGGCTTGTTGGCAAAAAGTGTTACCACTCTCTTATACCCGGGGGCCGGAGTGGCCAGCTGACAGGTGTTTGATGATGCTACCCTGATGGACTTAGAGTGCTCAGGTCCTACTTCGATACCAGCGCTGCTGAAGCTTTAGTTGCAGATGCTGGCAAAGGACTAGCTGCCCGCGAAGCTGACAGTGAGGATCGGGGTCTTGCAAGAGAACATGCTTTTTCTTGCCAAGTTCGCAGCAAACGTGCCAGAATGTGTCAAGTGCGTGGAAAAGCCGATGTAGCTGTGTCGAGATTGTGCAGGATGAGTCGTTGACAGGTGCCACACAGGCGCCTTGACAAGCAGTCGCAGCCACGTTGGCCCCTTTTGCTAAATAATGTCAGATGGCTTTGCGGCAGAGACATGGGGAATGAAGAGATGATGACACGTACGGGGCTGTGTCGAAGGAGTCTCCCCCAGAGTGAGGAACGAAGCCCCTAACACCTGCATGAAAGATAGATGGGGCTCCTTTAAATCCCCCCTCAACTGAAGCCCCCCATCAGTCCCCAGAGTCCGTGGGATGCAAAGCAAAGACAAGAGAGAGGTACTTGCCTCCTCGCCACCTCAACCTCAGAAAGAGGATGCAACTGCTTGCTCAAGGCTTAAGACCCTCCAAGGCCTCTCACTCAGGGAGCTCGACACAGTCATAGCCGATGGAGTGCCGAGATACCTCCACAAGTCAATGAGCTCACCATCAACTAATCGGAGAAAGACATGGGACACAACAAATACACAGACGCTTCATGCGGGCAAGAGAAGCTGTGAGTGGGGACCAAGCATAACAAGCCCTTCTGAGATGAGCACCCCTTCCCAGTGTATCCGTAGTCGTTACGGACCGCCGGCGGCATTGAGTAGGTACGTTTAAATCGACGAGCTCCCCCAAACGTGAAAATTACGTATGATGCCGATCACTTGAGTTTAAGATCCCTGATTATGGCCTGGAATCATCATGATTTCCATGTAAGACATTATGCTGTATTCCACAGCTTCCAAGAAAAGTCATGGCGCATCGTTCATATTCCTCTATCTTGAGGGCCCATTACTCTAGCTCGATCTCCAATTGGCTGCCCCGAGGCTGGCCTGCACACATTGCAGGAGCGCACATATTGCAGGAATCTGGAATTTGCCCACAGGATGTTGAGGATCAACTTGCGTAGCACGCTCTCGCTCATCCGCGAAAACAGCCTTGGTGGACTCAACGCGCTGGTCGATATCAGCCAGGTGAAGGAAGATGGCATACATGGCGCTCTTGCACATAGAGCAAATTTGTTCAGCTGGTGCTGTTACAAGTAGCAAGTTCAACTTCCACATTCTAAAAGACATTGCCTACCAGATTGATTTTGTCTGGTACATGTTGCGTACCTCCACGAGGACAACAGTGGCTTACCACCTTGAAAATTACAAGGAACGTAGAAACGGTGGCACATCAACAATTTCAACAAGCTCAGAAACTCCACAGCCACACTGCCCAGCCTGTGGACAGGAAGGACAACTTGGACATCCGGCTTTAAGTAAGTTTAGTCATTAAGAATGCTTGATGCGCCCCTGGGCCCATGTCACACATTCTGGATCAGGAAGAGCGTCCACTGGCACGGTACGCCTCATCGCAGCACCACACCGCTGGACAAATCCATCAGACTCGCTGTGCTGATAACGCCGGGAGAGCGCCGCTCAGGAGACGGCAAGTACACCACCAGACCCACCGCCCCCGCAGTGCCACCTCGTGTGCCAGCACCTCGCGCCACCAGCACAAAGGCGACCCTACCAGACTGGCAACCAAAATCTGGCAACTAGAGGTCGCAGCCTGGCCGCAGCAATGCAGAAGGCGCCGCAGGTGCCGCTGCATTCCCACTCAAGATCCAACCCCAAGTGAGGCCGATGTTCAACCAAAGCATTTGCAGCCCTCATGCCATGGAGGAATAGCCGCGTTAGAAGCAGCGTCAAACTGGGGTGGCTGCCGTAGACAGTTGATGTTATCGCTTTGCTGATGTTATCACTTTGCTCTTCAAGTACCGAAAAGCGGTGGAAACAGCTCTGGGATTCAGGGGGGGAACACTTCAAGGTATGGCCTTGCCATGCAAGTCTGTGTCTGTTTTGCAGCATCCCAATGTGAGTCGTGAAAGCCTCTGACTGTCAGGCGATTTCGAGTTACAGTGTTTCCCATACTGGCGCACCAACGCTCTATCCTGAAGATGCATCAGGATTGTCAGGCGACAGCATTCATGGGCTAGTAGATAATAATAGATGTTATGCTTCGACTTGAGTCAATGTGCGAATCTGGCGCAGCCAACTGTTGGATTTCATCTAGCCCCTGGAAGGCAGTTCAGATCCCGGGCGGAGCCAGGTTCAAATTGATGCTACATCCAGTACTGAGCTACAAGTTTCGGCTTTGGTTGACAAGCCACTTGGATGTGTCCAGAAGTTTGTTTACGTGGATCCGGTAGATGACATGTCAAATCCAAGGTTAACTGAGAGCAACAGGCAGGTGCAGGTCCGGCTCACGGAAGTCTTAAGTCAATGCCCATTCCTGGCATTCAGCATTCCAGCCAGGGCGTGGACATTCCGGCCCCGCATTCTGTACCACTTCCATTTCCAGAGTCAAAGGCCCATCATTTGTTGGAAGCTACTTGCTGGGTTTGCTCGCCTCAAGATGTTTCTCAGGACACATCGGCGCTGCTGTCCATCAACCTGGTCGGCTCTAGGGACTTGTGCAGACCAAGTGCTGGAATTTTTTCTTGCGGCAGGCAAAGCTGGAGAGCGGTGAAGACACGCGCACGACCGTGGCCTGTCTCACTGGTTCACCCAAAAACCTTCCTCCTGCTTACGTGCTTGACAATTTGAGGTCATGGTCGCAAGAATACCTAAAACGTGCACTTCGGAGCCTTAGCCCGGTTTTGACCCACCAGACCTGGTGACACTGCTTGGCAATTCAAACGCGACACCTGAGGAACGGTTCCTGACCCGTTTACGAGATTTGGCTTTGCTGAACAAATTGCGGCAGCTTTGCTTAATGTGGGACCCTTTCAGCAGTCGGAAGGTAAAATGACGCAGCTGTCAGGCGGGAATATGAACTGTTTAGGAATTGCGGGGTCGGTTTTGCTTTGAATATCTAGGATTTTCAGCTGGAGCCGGAACTCTTGGAACTGGGGCGATCCGAAGTATTTTTGGACTTAGGCGTTGTACCTGTAAAGCACACAGTCCAAGCTTTTGATTTTTTCGGTGGCGGAGGGATGGCTCCTAGTGACGGAAACAGCTTGTTCCATCCCGCTTCTCATAAGGCTTCCAGCACTTGAGATTCAATGAAATGCATACCTATTTTCCATGACTGAAGCATTGGGTATTGCAGCGCTGGCTGGTTGCTGACTTGCCTGAGACATCCGCCAGGAACACAAGCGCACGCCAGAAAGCACCAACCCTTGCTCGCTGTGATATTCTGTCAGATCACAAGTGCCACTAATCGCGGCCTGCAATCCGTTCTGACATACCGAAATAGCTGCAGGTCAGCCCCAGTCAGCCACAATTAATGGCTTGGCGTGTTTGTTTTTGAACTTTATCTCAGAGGGCTCAGAACTGCTCCAGCAGCGGAGCCTAGCTGTAGCCCCTAGGCTGTCTCGACAGCATTTGAGCCATACCTCGATCACCTTGCT